GCAGTCACTGCTCCTCAGGAGAAGAGCTTGACCACGGATGGACAGCTGCTCGGTGCAGGGCACCTGGGTTTATCTCCAGGAAGGTGTTTAGGGCTGTGCTGGCAGGGGATTTGGGGAACCCGTAGCCGGACTTGATGTCCCTCGGTGTATTTCTCTGCTGCAACCTTTCGGCTCCCCGCACATAAAACTCTTTACAACTATGACACGAGTGTAACTTTTTTTTTTTTTTTTTTTTTTTTTTTTCCTCCCAGCAGCCCGCTATAGTCTTCCCAAAGCCCTGAAGTTAGGGAAAAGAGATGTAAATTTTGTGCAATTAGTACTAGGTAAGCAGCAGCACACTGTGGAAACAGACATGTGGCCAGAAGACAGCTCTGTGCTGAAGCTGCTCATTTCTTGGTATAATTTACAATGAGAGCTGGGAAAGGGCAGTGCACTTCTCAGGCTGTTAGAAAGCAAAGAACCGTATGGAATCTGGTCTGAAATCTTTTCCAATTGGGAAGAAAAAATGTCTTAAGTTCAGTGAAAAAAACCCAAATCACTCCCAGACTACTCTGACTTGAAAAGCTGCTTATTCACTGCATATTCTCAGGCTCTGGTGACAGGGATTGAATTTCCCCCCCCTTGCCGCCTCTTTTGCTCCAGACCAGCTTCTCACATCTTGAAGTGATCAGCAGCTAAGGAAGGGCGCGTGTCGCTAGAGGCCCAGATTAAAGGGGAGAAGAAAAATGTATTAAAGCTGCTGCAAGAAGACAGCATCTTCAGCAGTGCCCAAAAGCCTGCACCTTCCATGCAGCTCCAGCAGCGTTGCTTTCTCTCCAGATTTTGAGTGCATTCCCCACGCACCCAACGTCACTCGGGGGGTAGGAGGAGACCAGGGGACAGGCATTTGTCCCTCTGTCTTTCCAGGCTGGCTGTTGATATGAGCCTGTCATTTGCGGTCAGCCTTTGCTGCACGGGTGCATTTTCAGCTGGCTGCGTTCCCTGTTGCTGCTGGCTTTGCGATTTTTGGGAACAAAGCAATGGAAAGGCCTTTGGACTTTGTGGGCTGCAGAGTGGAAACATCCCCTTGCGTCGGGATAATGTCACAGAATTGCCCCACTAACACGAGGCAAGGAAGCAGGAGACATTTCTGTGAAAGAGGAGGAAAAAAAATAAACAGTGGCAACACATGGGCATGTAAAGAGGATTTCAGCAGCTCTCCAAAATCCCCTAATTTGGGTCATTTCTTTACAGTAGGCTGGTTTCCGCTCAGCGCTGGTGTAAACTAGTCTCCAGCTCAACAGGGTTTGTTGGGGTTTATTTGGGCACAGCTTGACGTGAGGAAGAGGCTGGTGTGTAGAGGGGGAGGAAGAAACAGGGAGACGGAAAACCAGAGGAGAAAGTCTCAGGCCAGGTTCGTGATAGGAGAGGTCTGGAAGAAGCCAGCAGGGAACAGTCTGACCACGTTGGATGCTCTTGGGTTGGTGACGTGCAGCTTCCACCTCGCCCAGCACACTGCCATCCTCAGTCTCCTCCCAACAGTCTCTGGAATAGAGGCTCAGGAGCAGCCTCGATGGCCCTCCTCCAAGCAGATTGTGTATTTCCATACCTCAGAGCCCAAACTCAACCGTTGCTGGGGTCTGCACACAAACAGCTTGTGTTTTTTGGTCCCAAAGTACGTGTGGCCAGCCTCACAAGATCTCCCCAAACAGCATCCCCTGGTTTTGCTGCCTGGGGCTGGGCATCAGCCGGCATTTGGCCCTAGAAATACCTCACAGCCCTCCCAGGGCTGTGGGTAGAGGAAAAAAGGCAACTGATGTCAAAGGAACGAGGAGCGAAACAAAGGGAGAACCTTTAATGGGAAACAAAGGCTGCCTGTCTCCTCTGTCTGAGCGCCAGGATCCGACCCTGAACCAGCTGAACCAGTCGTGCTCGCAGCTCGCGCAGCACAGACCGCACCGGCGGGAGCACCCACGGCTCCCCTGCCGAAGGAGGAGGGCAGAGCCGAGGGCAGGTAACTGCGTGGGCACCAGCCGTCTTGGAGCCACGCGTTCGGCCCGTGGCTCTCCAATGCGAAGGTTATCAGACCCACCTCCCAGGCCATCCCTCCGTGGAGGGGCCACTGCCCTCTGAGTCCGTGTTTTCCTGCTGTGTTTGTACACATATGCACGGGGAGTCCTGCTCGTGAGCACAAAGATGCCTGACTTTATCACTACGGGCTTCTCCTGCCCGTATGAAAAGTTATATTCCCCTTCTGATAACACCAGCAGCTCTGCAGGTATTCTCAGATTTCTCTTAGCAGGACCCCAGCGAGCGTTGCAGGTGCTCCCAAAGGCACCCCGTAGTTTTGCCATGCCAGGCTACAGCCTGAACTTGACCCTTTAGGTTTTTTGCAGTTTCACTTCAGAGCATTGACACCATTTCTTCACAAGACTATTTGTAGACTTTGAAGGCAACGTAATATTTGTGAAATTGGACCATTTAGCAGAAACGGCACTCGGCAATCAGGCTTTGGGCTGTTATCTGCTCAGATTTTTTTTTTCCCCTTTGCTATTTCTGTATTTTTATTTTCATTTTGCTAAATCTATTCTTCCCTTTATTTCTGCTTCCTCTTTGTGTCTGATTTCTATTTGCAGAGGCACTTGTTCTTTTAAATACCAAACTCTTTTGGCAACATGTTTTTAGCTCAAGGCAGACGACCGCTTTGTGTTAAATGTTATACCCCGGTCACAGGATGCAGCTCACAAACAATTTGAAGACATAACTGAACACTTGGTGGTGCTACTAAAATGCCTTTTTTCTTCTGCTGCTTTCTTTGGGCACATGGTACATGCTATGTCTCTTACCAGGCACATTCTGTCCCTTAGCTCAGCTCTTTCTTCTTAGGACAATTTCTCCTGGTCTGGAAATTATTTCACAAAAGCAGAAAGCTATCTCTGAAGGTTGGACAGTGGCTTGAACCCTCCTTGTTTTGAACCCCCGGCAATCTTACCTGCCCACAAAATTGCTGTTTGTATTTCACAGTCTTATTTGTGTAAATACCAGCATTTGTCTCCATAAAGAAATCTGGTCCCTGGCTGGATTGGTAGACCCAGGCTACCATTTCTTCCGTTGTCTACCTGCCAGAAGCTGCAATAGGATTTGAAAGCGTTCTGCAGCTCGGTGAATTCTTGATTCTCCTAAACCTGGCTTTCCCCAGCAGGCTGCTTCTTGTTTCTGAGAAAATGATAGTGCTTATTGTCATGACTTGAACCAAGGATTCCCCAAACCACATGCTGGAACCACGGTTTCAAATATGTTTTCAATTCTTCCACAGCTTCCCCCTCCTCCTTTGATTTCTCATGAGAAACTAATATCTTGAAGAAAAAATCATCCTAGTCAGAATGCACTACCCTTCCAGTTCACACCTGGGTACTTCATACAGGTTTTGTTTTGTTATTATTGCCTGTCAGACAGACACAGGCTCCTTCTGAGCTTCACACCACAGGTGCTAATTGAAAAAAAAAAAAAAAAAAAAAAAAAAAAGGCATTTTCTGGTATGCTACTTGGACACAAACAGAGAAAGTATGCTGTTGGAGGAATGGTGCTACGCTGAAAGGTAGTAACTGGCTGTGATCAGTAGCCAGCAACACCATCCTGTTTAGGTGAGCAGTTACGCAGGTGAGAGGTAAAGAGCTCATTTTGCAATGTGGGAATGATTGAAAAGACTGCAGGACAAGCTTGCTTACTGCCAACACGTCCGCACGGGACAGATGCCTGTGTGTGCTACAGTGCCTGCAAGATGGGCAGATTAACAGTGTGGTGCTGATCTCATCAGTGAAACTTGTTCTTAAAAGAATAAAAATAATCTGATTGTCCCACCATATTTCAGCAGCTGATTAAGTACATCCCAGAGCACTATTTCTGCACGTTTTGCTGTGAGACCACAACCATGGCAGAACAGCAGATGCTGGAATCCAAGTGGCTCAATTACACCCGGGTGCCATTTGATTATACAGCAATGCACGTCAATGCATCATTCCTTTGGCAAAATCTGATGGTTCTCATCAGAAAAGCCAGGCTAACTGCCTGACACCTAGTGCTGGTAGTCAGAGATGCAGCTGTGAAGGCTGTGGCACCCTCAGCCTTAGCCTTTACAAGTGTGGCAGGCTGTCCCTGCACCCATTCAGGAGTGAAGGTGGATGATACAACCTCTGCACTCAAGACAGAACAGCCACCTTGGGTGCTGACCACCAGCACATCAGGAGCTGGGCTTTCAGCTGGTCCAAGTCAGTGGAGCCCGGACTTCCAATGAGCTAATCCATGTCACATGAACATCTGAAATTTTGTGAAGAGGGCTGTACAACACGCCTGTTGACAACTGCAGAGTGACAGGGGTCTTGGAGGCCCTGCCAGTCCAATTAAACTGTCTAAAGTATATTGTGTTTTCTAGGCATCGCGCCTGCCTTTGGAAAGTAACTGCTCATACATACTGCTCAAACTATACAGGTAAATGAATTCCACGCTGCATGAAACCTTTTCGCCTTAAAGCAAAAAGACGTTGAAGCATCAGTGCAGAAGCCAACAAAATACCTAACTGCAGGAATACAGGCCTGGCTGCGAGGGGGAATTTTGTTGCAGGCCTTGGATTTAGAGGACAGTCCTTTGGCTGTTTCTGGGCTACACGCAGAAGAGAAGGCGCAGAGCAACAGTTCAGTTCATGAGGGGTGAGGTAAGGCCGAGTTCACGAGGAAAAGCCGCCACAGGAGGTGGGAAAGGGACCTCCGCGCAGAGGGCTGAGGGGACAGCAGTACATGAAGTACGCTGCTGCGGTGGGGGGGGGAAGGGCTGGGCCACATGTCGGCGATTCCGTTTTAAAGCCCGCTGTTATTACGCTACGCCAACCCGGCATTTCGAGCGGTATTCCCCTCAGACAGCGCGGATCTGCAGCAACTCCCTCCCTCCCGCGCTCTCTCCCTCCCTTCCTGCCGCCGCCCTCCGCCATTTCCTTCCCGCCACCCCCCGCGCGGCGCCGCGGGGCAGGGCGGGAGCGGCAAGATGGCCGCGCCCGTGTGAGAAGCCGCCGCCGGCGTCCGCGCTCGCCTCGGCCGCGCTGCCGCTTCCCGCGTGGCCCCCGGGCGGCGCGGGAGCCGGAGCCCGGTCGCGGCGGCGGTGCGTGCGTCCGTCCGTCCGTCCGTCCGTCCCAGAAATAATGAGGATATCGGGCCCCCATGTCGGACCACTCTGACGAGAGGGCGACGATGATTGCGGCCGGCGACCTGCAGGAGTTCGCCCCCCGGGGCCGCGAGCACTGCCGGCGCCACCCCAGCGCCCTCAGCCTCCAGCTGCGGCGGCTGCAGCCCGCCTCCGAGCTCTGCTCCTCCGACGGGGCGGCCGGCCTGGTGGGGTCCCTCCGCGAGGTGACGATCCACGAGCGGCAGCGGGTACGAGGCAGCGGGGTGGGGTGTGGGGGGGTGGTGTTCTGAGCTGGCTTTCTCGCTGCCGAAATAAATTGGCCAAACCGTGATCGCCGAGCGATGAGCAGCTGTTGGGATTGCACCTGCAGGTCTTACAACTTTTCCTTAAAAAAAAAAAAAAAAATGTTGCTTTTCAGGAGAGTTGGCAGTTGAGGAAAGGTGTCAGTGATGTTGGGGAAGAGGTGGACTACGACGAAGAGCTATATGTGGCCAGCAATATGGTCATCTGGAGCAAAGGCAGTAAAAACCAAGCATCTACTGTTTATAAGGCTTTCACTGTTGACAGCCCCGTTCTGCAGGTATGAAAACTGGGAAAGGGGGCGACTGAATGGATCTAAAAAACACCTGCTGAGCATTTTCAGGTGGTGTTCAGAGGTGGGGTTATTCCGGGAAATACAGAAAGATAAGATTGTGTAGTAGCATCAGCTTGTTCCTCAGAAATAATAGTACTGTATCTGGTTGTAGGCCTTATGGTGCGACTTCACATTACCCCAGGAAAAATCTGAAAAAGCTGATGGTAAGTTTCCTGCTTATTGTAATGCCAAACAAATGTTTTGAGTTCAGCTCCCTTGGCATGATAAGTTTAGTTATCCAGATTTGTCATGTTAAGATAGCCATGCCCCCCCAAGTTTACATTTTGTGTATTGAAGATGTCTAAGGAAAGAGAGAAACTTTACTGTGTATATTTTTTTTTCCTCACCCCAGTTTCAGGCAGTGGTGAAATAGTAGAGAAATGTATCTGCATATTGCAGAATTCCTGTATAAATGTGCATAGCATAGAAGGAAAGGATTACATTGCTGCTTTACCTTTTCAGGTAAGTGCTGTCCGCTTTTTGTCCACAAATGGGCTTATTATCTGTTTGCATATTGTGCTGGGGTGGGGAGGGGATGGGTGCGTAAAGCACTGCTGGGGGTGGCTGCCCAAGTTCTTCACTCCGGGGGTGAAAGGGACAAAGCTGGTGACGGTGCAGCTGTGTGGTCAGGGCAGTGTATACTTCTGGAAGTAGTGGCAGCCAACTGTCTGATGTGGGAAAGTAGGGGCATGACCCCTTCTTAGTCTGAGAACCTGCTCCAATTTACGTTACGCTTCTCTCATGAAAAAGCCTAAGCATCTTATTTTGCTATAATGAGATATTCAAACACAAAACATAGTCAATATAGTAAGCTCTTGATTTGAATTTATTTTTTGTAATTTTTGTATAGGTCGCAAACGTCTGGCCAACAAAATATGGTTTGTTATTTGAGCGCAGCAATTCTTCACACGAAGTACCTCCAAGTCCACCCAGGTATGTAATGAGTGACTTTGACTGTTTTGTTATGAACTGTTTGCTAATCTAAAACAGGAGTGCCACAAGAGTTGAAGAGCAATGATGAAAGGATTTGAATGTTTGTGTCAGGGACAGGTGAAATCAGGTAAAACATCATAAAATAGCAGGAAGGGGCTGAATACTGACAATTCGTGATAGTCCTCTGATATTGTCTTAAGAACTAGTTGGGAGTGGTGATCCTGGGAATAGCATACAGGAGCCACAATATGGGTGTTACTAGACTGATTCCACTGAGGTTTGTCCTGGAAATTGGTTCTAGGCTGTGACAGTAGAGATTCACTGAAGGATTGTTGTTGAGACACTTTCTCTTAGCTGCAGGAGGCTTTCAATGTATGGAGAGTCCTGTTACTGTTTGGTGAGGATTGTAGACCATGTGCTGTGTGGCTGGGCATACAGCTGAGAAGCAGAGTAAGGAGTTGGGATGGTGTGCTGAGGAGCAGCTTTAGTACAGCCACTTGTTCTCTCTCGGGTTTTAGGTGTACATTCCAGGCACTTGTGATTCTCTAGTCCTCAGAAGAATTTGGGTTAGAAATTAGAGGTCCTGAGAATGTTCAAGAGGGTACATTGCAAAAATCATGATTCACTCTACTCAAGCTGGCCTTCCATGAAAATTTTTCCTTTTTCTACTGCCACCGCAGACGGGCGGCTTGATTGCTGCTCTGTGATGCATAACAGTGACCTGATGGCTGTCTGCTTGTCTGAGACCTGGGATTTGTGGAACCTAAACTCTTAAGATGAGTGTAGGTTAAGGGCTTTCTCATCTTTCTTCTACTCCAAACTTGGCTGGTGTCAGCTCTGTTTGCTCCGGCTAGCCAAAGTCGGTCGTGTGGCCACCAGGTGGGGTCATTCTCAAGTGCTCTGAGATACAAAACAAGACCTAAGCATCCTGTTTGGTACACCAGCCTTTGTCTGACTCTGCTCAGTTAATCCAACAAGCTTCAGTGCACAGAATATGTGTCTCTACTGTTAGATTTCAGGCTCTGATTTGTTAAGGTCTGAGGAACTGTTTTGGGATCGCAGCACATGTACCAGCTATAAGAGAGAACAGTTATGCCTGTTAGCATTTGCTTTTTTGAACATGCCTTGTCTGGTTTCTTTCTAGAGAACCTTTGCCTACTATGTTCAGCATGCTACACCCACTAGATGAGATAACACCTCTTGTCTGTAAGTCTGGAGGTAGGTTTACATCTTTAGATGTATCACTTGGAGTACATCAGTATGGCATTGAACGCTTAATGTGTCACTTGAGCATTTTCTGTATTACAAAATTTGCAAATAATCACTCAGAAATTCAGAAGTGGGTTGTTTTAGCTGCTTTGTGAACAGGAAAACTGTTCAAGAAAGAAACCCAGATTGTGGAAGAGAGAGAGTATGAAAAATGCTAACCCTGTAACTGATAACACTGCTGTAGAAATGATCCTTTCACCTTAACTGAAGTTAACTGCTTATTTAGCAGGTGTGTTTGGCTCTGCTAGAGTGCAGTACGTTGCTGATTACACCTTGAGGATCGTGTTTCTCAGTGCTGAACCTTCCATTGTGATGACCTATGATACTGTGCAGAGTTTACATACTCTTTGGGCTCTTCGGAGAGTCAAGCCCGAGGTAAAAATTTATTGTTGACTAAATACCATTCTGAAACAAATTTAGTGTGTGTTAAAAGTGCCTGGTATTTGTGATTTATTTATAAGAGTAAGGTGGTTTTGACTTTTTAAAATAAATAGTTTCTTTCACATATTTGCCTGTACCACAGTCCAGGAGATCACATGATGGTGATGGTTCTGAAGTATACCATGCTTATCATGATATTCTTTGCATTGTACCAGAAGATTTGGACTTTGCTTCAACTGTTGTCTTCTGTGAGAAGCGACAAACAACTTACTGCCCTGAAAACCGTAGGAGTAGTTTCTGTGATTGGGATTGAGAGAGCGTGGTTGGTAGGAAGAACTTCTTAGGCTGAGCACCTACCTAGGCATAATTTTTAAACACCTAACTGATGAAACGAGCTATGTGAGCATCTTCCTGGCTGATATTGCCCACATGCTGTTTGTACACAGACAGCTCTGTTTTCTCTCCCAGGAGCAGAACACGGTGCTGAAGTTCTCAGAGCAGATGGGCACACCGCAGCATGTGGCCACTAGCAGCTCTTTGACCGCCCATCTCAGAAGCCTCTCCAAGGGAGACTCACCTGTGGGCTCCCCTTTCCAGAACTACTCATCTATCCACAGCCAGAGCAGATCAGTGTCATCGCCCAGCATGCAGTCCCGCTCGCCGTCTATCTCCAACATGGCTGCTTTGAGGTGGGTGCTGAATGTGATGCACAGGCAGATGATACCAAAGAATACGAGCTATGGGATAGGGTGGATATCTGGAATTGTCGTCTGTCTGTCTCTGCCTTTACAAGGCTGCTGTCCATGTAAGGTGCAGGTGCCTCTTCCACGCCTCTTGGAATGTACTTGTGACATTTGGTGTGCTGTTAGCCCTATAGCACAGGAGGATAATTAGTGTGCAAGAGCCAAAAAGGCTGTTCTGCCAGTCTGTAGCGGAGTTGGTGACTGTCTGCAGGTCTTTTGAGTCCCAAGAGTGTTTTCAGTTGGTTTTTCTAAAGGAAGCCCTGTTTAGAGTGAACACGCTGGGAGAGATTTTTGATGAAATGGACCATGCAACTTAAAATGTTGGTTTTCTTTTGAAATCTAACCTATTGGTTTCTGGCGGAGGTGACTGGAAATTAATTAGTGAATTGTTTGCCTGTGCTGGGGTGTATGGCTGAAGGAGACTAATACTGAACTAGCTACTGGCTTAGGGTGGTTTTGGTTTGTTTGTAATGTCTCTACTAGTGTATGAGCAGCCTGGGATTCTGTACTTGATTTTGAAAACCTGCTTTTCAGTAGTGTCTTATATCTTTACTTGCAGCCGCTCTCATTCTCCTGCCCTGGGAGTGCATTCTTTCTCAGGAGTGCAGAGGTTCAACTTTTCCAGTAACGCTCAGTCACCGAAGAGGCACAGCATTACCCATTCACCAAACAGCACTTCCAGTGATTCCTTCCTTATACCAGAAACTGAGCCAATTGTTCCTGAGCTGTGTATAGATCACCTGTGGACAGAAGCAGTCACAAACATGAGGTTAGTTACTTGTGTTGGGATGTGAGAAGTTCTGGATATTTATGGAGGGGGGGAAATAGAGTAATATACCAGTGTATTTTAGTGTGTGCTTTCTGAAAATTATGCTGTTTTAAAATATATTTGTGTACTTGCACTTCCTAATTTTTTGGAAAAATGCTTACTAAGTGTGCAGCTTTCTTGAAAAGGAAATTGGGCATTTGGAACAGTTTTAGCTGATGTGTTATCTATAGCCTTCTGAGCTGGGGGTTGTTTTAATGACAACTCCACAGCAAAGTAGGTTCTAACCTGGTCATTGCTTTGGGTTGGGTTTTGGTTGGGTTTTTTTTTTTTTGGCCTTCTAGGGGGACTATCTCTTTCTGTGTTACCATCAAAAGGGGCAAAACACAGCCTAAGTCCAAAGATTGAACAGGAGAACAAAGCCAAGTATCATGTGCTCTGAATGCTGAAAAGTGGGGAATGTGGAGATTGGAGTGCTAGAAAATCAATTTCAGGAGTAGTGACTCAAACTGATACTGGTGCATTCTGGCAACTTGATGCACTGCTAATTGGAGTCCAGTGTGACCCTACAGCTTGTGGACACTATGTTTTCTTTCATTAAAATTTTTATAGTAGAGCAAACAGCGTGCTGCTCATTGTGTCTCTTGCAGAGAGAAGAATTCCCAAGCATCAAAAGTGTTTATTACCACTGACCTTTGTGGACAGAAGTTCTTGTGCTTTTTAGTGGAATCCCAGCTCCAGCTGCGGTGAGCATCCCTATCTTGGGGACAGGTAGACAGAGGGGAGCCCTCTAGAAAGTACCATCTGGATATGGGTTTTAACATACTTATTCCTCCAGCTAGTAGAATCTGTTATGACAACATGTGCTACATCACTAGCTCTCATATGACATCTTTTTAACTGGGGTGGCGTAGGTGTTTTGGGCTATTTAAATAAAACCAAAGCTGTGAGAGAACATTCACTGTAATTTGAATGGTATTCTTATTTATTCTCATCTTTACCCTTTAGAAGTGTATTGGGGATTTTAATTAGACTAGCAGAGTAAAAATAAGTTGACTAGCAGGGCAAAACAAGCAAAGGAAGGAGGAAGGAACCAGGTATACCACAATAAAAGCAACTGCGCCATGCAGCACGGTTTTAATTTTTTTATCTTTTCTGTAACAACAAATAGGACAGTCCTTTTATGTTTCCTGTTTTCTCAAACCTCTAGATGTGTAAAATTTCAAGAGAGCAACGACAAGTCGCAGCTGATTTTTGGTTCTGTTACCAATATTCAAGCAAAGGATGCAGCTCCAGTGGAGGTACGTACCTCCGTATGGACTACTAATTACAAAGTATCCTGCTTTGTCACTTGTGTTGTCCCACTGTTGTCTCTTGACTTAAATCTAAGAAGCTGAATATTCTGCTTGATTCTTACAGGGCATTGATACGCTGCTGGTTCTGGAAGGCAGTGGAAATCTAGTTCTTTATTCCGGAGTGGTTCGGGTAAGTAACATTTTTCCTATCCCAAAATAATTGTTTGAATCTTTGGTTTCAAGTTGGGCTGTACAGAGGGAACCTGTGTGAATTACCTTACAGGTATTATTTTAAGCCACTTGCTTGGGAAGTTGGCTGTGCTCACATACCAAGTGTGGTTTATGTGCAGTGCTGGAAAGGTAATTCTAAAGCATCAGTGGCACCTTGTGGTACAATTAGATAATCTCTTGGGCTAATTTTCAGTGATAGTAAAATACTACAGTAATAAAATGACTTCAAAGAAAGAAAACTTCAAGAATATGGAAAATAAGAGTTGTTCCTGAACAGAAAACTTTCAGACTTCTCTGTGTCACGCCAGATAGTTTTAAATGTCAAATTATTTTGCTTTACAAAGAGCTGCTATTAGGATGGACGTGATCCATCCAAACTAACTAAAACTTCTTAAATTCCATAGAGATGTGCTATGCTGTATGCAGAAACCTTGTACACTGCAATTTGTGTGTGTGTATATGCACATTTGTGTCCATATATATTAATATATATATTAAATAAACAATATGTTTACATATAGATGTGTGTGTGTACGTTAAAAAACTACACTCTCTGAAAGTAGAGCTTTCTCGATGAAGTCCTGCTAGAACTTTTTAGTGGGAGTAGACCTGTAGCAATAATGTACAATACTGACCATATATGGTAGCTTTTTCAGTGTGTCATTATCTGAAGAAAGTAATTACATGAAGTAATCTTAATCTTCTGTTCAAAGACTTTAGTTTAAGTACATATCCAGTTTTCTTAAGTGTTTTTAAGATGTCAAGATGTTAATTTTCTTTTAAAATGTTAAAATCTGATGATGTCTGTATATGTAAGCAAGCTCATGGAAGCATTGGCATGAGAACCAACTATCTGTTTTCCTATATATTGTTCACAAAAAGGTGGGGAAGGTTTTTATTCCTGGGCTGCCTGCTCCATCCCTGACAATGTCCAACCAAATGCCTCGGCCAAGTACTCCCTTAGATAGTGTCAGCACTCCATCCAAGCCTTTGACTAAACATCTGGGACCCCTGGAAGAGGTAAGAAGAAAGGAAGTTGTGTTTTTGAAAGGGATTAGTTGTAACAGCTTCAAATGATTGGTTGATTATTTTTTTTTTTTTAACTTTCAAGGTATCTGTTGGAGCTATAAGTCTTTCATTTTCCTTCTGTAAATCCCTTGAATAAACAGTGTTTAAAGAAGAACTATTTAGTGCTACCCTATTTATTTATGGTTTCTATAAAACTTTCGAGGCAGAGATTGCAAAGACTCATAGTTGTTTTCAGAACACTTATTAATACATTAAAAGTGGCAGGTTTAGTTGTCCTTTGCCCAGACCCTCTTATTTCAACAATTCTAAGCAATCATTTTTACCACTTTTCAGGGTGTGCTTTTGTCACCAGTTCCAGAGCTAAGGGATTCTGCCAAACTTCATGACTCAACTTACGTTGAAGACTGTACTTTTCAGCAGCTTGGGACTTTCATTCATGCTCTGAGAGATCCTGTCCGCAACAGAATAACTTTAGTAGGTATTATCCTGTAATTTGAGTCAACACTCTGTTAGCAAAGCAAAGTGAGGGTAACATTTACTTATGTTGCATAGTGCGACATTGCTAGCAGCTCCTGATCAACAGTAAAGTATCGCACCTGCATTGGTGGATCCACATGTTTTTCTTTGTAGAATACTATAGGAGTCACAGAATTTAATTGATTCCCTCAAGTGATTCAGCTCAAGATCTGTTTCGCGTGTTTCATGGAGCTAGCATCTGAGGTTGCAAATTTTTAGTGTAGCAAATAGCCAGGAATTAGGAATATGCTTAATACATAACCAAGTTCTGAGTCGATAGAAAAGGACCCTGGCTTTACTTTATGCGTTTCATAATTTGACTCTTACCTTTTCTATTTTTTCAGGAACTCAGCAATAATACAATGGTTCGGGTTACTATTCCTGAAATTGCCACTTCGGAACTAGGTATTGTTCAGAATCCATCACATGAAATATGCTCCATAATTTTTGAGGGTCCATTTTGGAAGTAGCATAGCTTAGACTGTAATGATTTGGTACCACATATTCCAAGCTCTATTAACTTACTTTCTAGAGCTGCTACCATTTATTTAGATGTGCTCTGTATGCTTTCAGTGCTTCAGCCACTGCACTCTTAGAACTTCCTTTGTTCTTTAGGTTGCTTTGCTCTCTACTACTGTGTATACTATTGCTTGAGGAAGGGCTGAGATGCCAGTTCAGACAAAAGTTGGTTTTGGTAAAGAACAAAAAGGAACTTTTTTTTCCTCTCCTTTGTGTGGTGAATTTAAAGGGGCTGTGCTCAAACCTGAACTAAAGGAGCAGCTGCTGCAGGTTGTGTGGTGTGGGTTTCATTGAAAGAGCTTGTGGAGAGTTAAATGGAGGTCCAGTAAGAGGACCTGTAGAGATTTATAGCACTGGTTGGCAGAAGTACCAGGAGGTAAGATGGAAAACACACCTAATCCTGTATTTTTTTTTTTTTTTCCAACAGTGAAAAGATGTCTGCAAGGGGTCAAAGCTGTCCTACCCAAGGAGATAGCTGTACAGATGCTTGTCAAGTGGTACAATGCTTATAATGCTCCTGGAGGACCAAGTTATCACTCAGAATGGAATTTATTTGTAACATGTCTCATGAATATGATGGGTTACAACACGGAGAGACTGTCCTGGACACATAATGTAAGCAAGCTCGTATGTTTGTTTTCCTAGCATATGTTAATGCTACTGATATCCTTCAAGGTTCAGAATGGTTATAGAGACACTGAATTGTGTCAGAAATAGGTTGTACCTTCTTGTAAATAACAAGATACCATCAAATCAATTTTATATTGCTAAATTTCAGGTATATGTTTTAGTCTGTTTATCACGAAATATATTTATATGCTACTTACCACCAACTGTCTTGGTCAAATAAAAATAAATTACGAAGATTTTATTCCATTTCATGACTAACACTGATGCATTAAAGATTTGATTCACCTAATCCATATTAAGCCTATTTTAGATAGAAACAAATCACAACTCACATTCTTGTTTTCTAAAGAGGATTTTCCATGTAGTTTTTTTAATTACAAAATTTGAAGTTCTATTTTTTGCAACTGTTTTACTGAATGTATTTGCAGCTTTCTGTAAGTGAGTTTCCTTCTAGCCAGTATGTTTACAGTACTTGTGGGGGGAAAAAAAAAACAGCAGCAAAGATATTTGTACAACTAACGTGAAAGCAATTACAGTATATCTACATTACTAGCATTAGCTCATCCCCACAGTATATCTTCTGTCCTAGTCAATACCAGATGTTAGGCAGTCAAACTATGAAATTCATACACCATGAATTTCATGCTAGTCGTGCACTGCATTAACTAGCTGTGCATAGAAAAAAATCGAATTGCAGTATGCTTTATATGAAAGCAAAGTATATTGAAGTACCCAAAGCAATGTCATGTAAAGTTTAATTTGAATTCAGATGTTGTTACAGGTGATTCACTTATGCAGCCTTGGGAATTTCAGTAGTGAGCTACTTTTGATCTTTTTTTTTTCCCCATTGCAGCTTGATTTGGAAGGATCACTTTCACCAGTTATTGCTCCAAAGAAGGCTAGACCATCGGAAACAGGGTCAGATGAAGTAAGAAATTTTTCTCGTTTACAAATAAGAGCCTTGGGAGGGGTTGGTTGGGTTGTTTTTTTTAAAGTCAAGCCAGAGGAAACACCCTTAGAGTATTGCATTTCATCTGAGCTCATCTGAAATTACAAGGCTTTTGGGGAAGAAAAGTTATTTTGCCCTATGCAGTGGCTGCATCAAGTGACTCACTTCCAGAGAAGCAGATTGGACTTGAGAATTAATTTAATATGGATCATAAAGCAATCCCAGATAGTCTCCTGGCAATGTCAGATCTCATCCCTTTAAAATGAAGTTGTTTCACTCCCGTGGCTACTCAGCACCTTTAGCAAGTTAGGAGCATCAAATTATATACTTCACTGAATGCACTGATTTTTACAAAATCTAGTGGAGTGTTTAAGGTTGATTCTCACTGGGTTTTGCCGAGACAGGATTAGGAAGTTTTCACATGGTGAAACAGTAAAGTGTATGAGGTTTCCTCTCATCCCATTGTAGGAGGTTTACAAATTGTGATGGTCTAGTCATGCTGTTAGCTTTTTATGGGTTGACAGCTCATAGGGTTATGGACTACAGTCTGTGGGGAACAAAGGTCAGGATCTAAGGCCTGATGTGCTGTGTCGGGGAGTTACAATGAAGGCTGGGAGCACTAGGTGAATTGCATAAATACTCTGTGAGGTCTCATGCACAGAATATTGGTGCAAGGAAGGTACTCCCGGCTTGCTTTCATCTTGTTCTTCTAAATATAAGGCTCTGATTCTTTTATGCATGACGAGGGGTGGGGCAGGGGGAAAACTTAACTATTGAATCTCTATGGCTTGCAGGGTTTGTGGCACATTTACCGTACAACAATCACGTTTGTATTGGTTTATGGCAGAAAAAACCTTCTCTGTAACAGTGCTTTGGAGTTATTTTACTGGAAGATGATGTTCACTGTGGAACCTCTGTGTCTCTTTCCTGTTTGCTTGGTCTAGGACTGGGAATATCTCTTAAGCTCTGATTACCATAGGAATTTTGAGTCTCATCCTGTTGCCAAAGCTTTGCGACTGGACCCTCTGGAAGTTTTGGCTTCAAAGGATGACTTTTCACAGAGCCTTAGTTTGGATTCCTCAACTCTCCTTTTCACCCACATTCCTGCTATTTTCTTTGTTCTTCATCTCATCTATGAGGAGCTCAAACTGAATAGTCTGATGGGAGAAGGAATTCGTTCACTTGTTGTTCTTCTGGTTCAGCTGGCCAGGTATGCCCAACTGACTAATTGCAGATATTATGTATAGTGTGGTATCTCTTGTTGATGGGTGTGTATTATTTTTATGGAGAATTTGGGGATTGCCCAAAGTGGAACAGACTTTTCATGTATTAGAAGAAAATGAATGAATATTTAAAACCTTACTGTGGTTAAAGATCTTTGCTGTAGCAAATCTATTGTACGATTCTGGCCCCGTCCCAACATCAGTGTGATTCACAAATCTTAGAAGCTGCAGCTCATGGTCTTATCTTCTGCATTGTCACAGCTCAGCTCAGGAGATCTGTCAAGTGTTCTTGGTTATTGTGTCATCTTCATGTCTTCCACAGCCACCTTCCAAGTTGCACTACATGCATATAGATAGATACAGATACGTGTTTAAGTAAAAGGCCTGGTAATATCCCCCTGAGTTGTATTTGCTATTTGCTGTTTCTGTGGCTATAGATTCTTCCCCAGTAGCACCTCCTATAGCTGGCTGGCTCAGTGGTTCCCAGAAGCAGCATCCAGACTGTACTGTTGAAAAGGTTGGCCTGTCCTCTATTCTGTCACGCCAACAAGAAGCAAGTCTTTCAGCTCAAGACTGTCTTTTGAGGCTGGTAGCTGTTATATGCATTCATGTCTTGCAGATACCCAGCAGGTTATCTAGCTTTAACAATCGGAATTTGGAGGAAACTGTAGTGGTAGTGGTCACACCTTAGGTGGTGGTGGAGGCATGGGACAAAACAGAAGGACAGCTGAAGAGAAATGGCCTGGGGGAAAATTAAACATACAGATTCGCTGCCTAGGGAGTGGGCAGTTACCCATGAACAGTCTTAGTTAAGGAAGTCAGAACTTCCCTCCTGATATCTAGTGCATACACAAACATTAAAAAACCTCAACAGAAAATGTCACAGAAATGCAGGAAGGTAGAGTTGGGGTTTTCATCCTCTAATGTGATTCCCCTCTCTCTCATTCTAGGGACTTAAAACTTGAAGCTTATATAGATTATTACTACAGAGACTATCCAGCCCTTGTAAAAACCTCCAGACAGACTTGCGTAATTGACCAAGGTGAGTTTAAGACTTTACAAAACTGGATATTCACTGATAATGATGTGCAAATTATCTCTAATACTAAGTCTGTTGGTGACTCTTGCCTTTAAAGCTGGTTAGGAGTGAAACATACAAAACTGCTTCTAGTGCTGAGGCTGCCTTGTGCCTTTGTTTTTAACAGCCTCTGAAGAAGGCTGGAATGAAATCAGAATAGTAGAGTCATGAGTTTGTGCCTCCAGTCTAGTGCCTCATGGGACGCTCCACAGAACAAGGATTTGGGAGGGAATGATGGTTTCATCTTGGCAAACTCCCAGCTCAGGCTGGCTGAGAAATCTTAGCAGACAACTGGAAAAGCCTGGTGGTGAGATGTGCCTCTCTTGCGGAAAGTATTGCTAGGCTGGCAGGCACTCGGTTTATAGGTCATAAAAACTAAATCAGAGCTAAACCCAAAACCTTAAAGTTAAAATAAGGCCCTATATTGTCTGTGTGCCTATTTAATGTCCTACCAGCTGAAATTTACTAGTCATGTAAGGAAAACTACCGTTTCTCCTGACCAAAAAAAAAAAAAAAATCCCAGTGTTGCTCAGGCTTTGCTACTCCTGTTTGTGGACAGCTAAGCCAAAGAGGTTATACTTGGATTGTCCTCTCACTTAAGCAATTTAATGTTGTTGAGTTACAAGACTATTCCAGTGAGGTTTTTGAGAATTACTCTATGCTTACTCCTTTTTACTGTGGGCTGAGATAATTTTTGTTCTCGAAAGACATGGCGGTGTCTCAAGTTTTCATTACTGTCTAGCTATAAACTTCCATCTAACAGGAGGGAGATGTGATCTGTAATATTTTGGGGAAATACTATATTTCTGTTGTTAAAAGAAGTACTGTAGGACTTGCTTTGGGATTAGTGGAGAATTAGTGTGCATTTGCAGTGAACTCAATGTCATTGCTGTTCATATGATTAAGCCCAAACAGGTTTCATGCACCATCCCTCGTTTTTTACTGCTGAGCCTCCAAGTATCTTTCAGTGGCTTAGTTCCTGTCTCAAGGGGGAAGGAGTGCAGCCTTATCCTTACTTACCAGGAATCTGTGAAAGGAGCAAACTGGTAGTACTGGTACGTACTTTGGTAAAAAGGATGTGCTTTATTCTGTCAGCATAGCAGCACTGTGGCCAGGGTTTGCCCCAGCTGCTTAATTTCCTGCAGCTGAAGTGTCCCCAGTGGGAAGTCAAATAACAGGAGCAATGAGGGCATACTGGAGGGGTATTGAGCCTGTGATAAATAACTCTGCTGTAGCTGTACTGTTTGGAGACTTAAGCATCTCCAGGTGTTGCTACTCCATACTAAGTAGACCTCATCTATCTGCATGAAATTCTCATGAGTATCCCTGTGCAGTGTCAGCCTCTCCATGGGGAAAAATAATGTGTTTATCAGAGAGAGATCCCTATAAGTCCCCTCTTCTTCTCTTATTATTTGAATATTACTGAAGGGTGTGGATGGGTTTTAGCAGGTGGGAGGAGGTATTTGAGGTTGGGAAGGAGAGCTGGTGAGTGCAGAGTGAGTAGCCTATGCTTCACTGCTTATGTTTTTTTTTGTGGTTTGCCGTAGTGGCATGTGCAAAGTAATAATGTAACTCAAAGTTAACTGTATTTTGTGAGTGAGAATTTCCCGGCTTTCTTCTTGGGCATGTATCAACATAAATATTTAGTCGCACGAGTAGTTACAAGTGCTGATGTTATCTTCTGGTCAACCTTGCTCCCTTACTCAGAAAGCATTCATGGAGAAAACCTGCCAATATAGGGTTTAAAGCAGTGGTGTTGAGCCTGAGGTGTCTGAAGAGCAAACCAGGGAGGAGAGGCTCTGCTCTGACCCATGCATCCAAGATTAGTTGCAGAGTGTGATACGAGCTGCCAGGAGTCAGCCTGTCCCCTGCCTCAGAGTGTGAGGGGTTGAAGTAGCAACACTGAGACTGTTTAAAGTGCTGATGTTTTCACTTAAAATTTGCTTCTGCGTTCAAGCTCTGAAGAGCTGCAGCCTTTCCCTCGGATAATCACCCATGTCTGTCCATCCAATTCGGTCTTTCCTTCTACCTCTGTGTGACTTGCGAGCTCTGACCTCTGCATAGGCATGTCGACAGTGTATCTTGCTGGAAGATCTTCATGAAAAACACAAAAGATTTTTACCTGTAACTTTTGCCTTCAGCATGCCAGCTTGTCTGGCAGTATCAAAAAGCAAATAGTGTGACAGAACACTTTGATTTTTTTCTGGCTAGATAGCTGAAGTGGCCCCTGCTTTGAATGGGGAACAGCTTTTCATTCAGAGCCTTCATGAAGTAACCAATATTCAAGATGTGGGGGAGACTGAGTGAAGTGGTGTCTGTAGATGATGTATGTGTTTTGCAAGAGAAAATAAATGAAACGTGAGAAGCATGGGAAAGATGACTGGGAACATGTTTTGCTGTTTAGAAGATCTTTTTACCTTTGAAACAATTATTAGGGAAAATTCAGTTCATTGTTTCAGGATGTTTTTTTCCCAAACTTCAAGATAGAAATCTAAAGCATAAGAGTTTGTTACTTCCTTCAGTTGTTTCAGTCTCCTTTTACTAACAGAATTTTCACAATAAACCTGCCCCACTGTTTAAATGTTATCTTCTGCCTATTTGGAGAGGCAGTATAGCAATAGCTGCACACTAAACAACTTTCTATTATGGTGTCTTTTTTCCTATCCAGAGTGTGGCTTTGTACATACTTGGTGATGAGAGCGCTGTATCTAATGAAGCCTCCCATTATTTGTACAAGATTACATCAGGTAATGATGCTTTGATTCCATCAGAGCATCTCCTAGTGTCTTGTGTGTGTACACATGCTGTCCTTCTGCTTGGAGAATGTGGAATTAACGTGGCCTTGTCTTTCCTAGGACAACGAAAACAGCAAATAGAACAGGATGACAATCGGTATGGGGTTTTTTAGTCGGATTTTAAACTTTTCAATGTTTGACTTTCTGCTGACTCTTGGACTAGTTTTTATTGGCCTCTCATTTATTACCCTTTATTTCACAGATGCAGTTTCAGACACAGCACATCTGTTTCCAGCCTGGCTGAAAAGTTAGTTATTTGGATGACTAATGTTGGTAAGAGCAGCTTTTATTATTGTGCAAAATGGTAACAATTCTAAGTGCTTGCATAAGAGGAATACACTTTATCTAGTTTTGATAAAACAGTTTGGGTTTTTTCCTCGTTAATTTTAAGGTTTCACCTTAAGAGATCTGGAGTCTCTCCCCTTTGGTGTAGCTCTTCCTATTAGAGACGCGATATATTACTGCCGAGAGCAGCCTGCCTCAGACTGGCCAGAAGCAGTTTGTCTCTTGATTGGGCGTCAGGATCTGTCCAAACAGGCGTGTGAAGGGAACCTGCAAAAGGGTAAATCTGTGAGTATGGGCATAAATGGATTTCACGATGCTGGGTATTGGGCAGAGCACTTTGTTCAGAAACTTCCCCACCATCTGCTGATGCTCAGGGCATCACAAGGTGCAGCACTCAAGATTGAGGGCAACACAGGGCTTACGTGCATATGAGGGTTTCAGTATAAAAACCAGCATCCGGCACAGGAAGAGTATACTCGTATAGCTGTGGAAACTGTCAATATAAAACAGATTTTAACCTTAATTTAGGCGTAGTGCTCAGAAGTTTTGCCTGTAGAGCTAGTTGGTTGCCTTCAAGTCCTCCTCCTCAAAGGTGCAGCCATTTTGGAGGGAAGTGTTGGGGAGGTTTGGTGATTCTGTCCAGAGACTCTGTGATCAAAACAGCAATGGCACAGGGAGAAGGAAGTGGGTGTTTGTCAGTCTGGCTCCTTTTTGGGTTTGCATGGCTGGCATCTCCCTCTCCTCTGGAAGAAGTGGATGGCTTTCTGAAATACACTTTCTTTTTTTCTCAAAAAGGGTTTAGTTATTTGTATCCTGAAGTAAACTGAAAAAAAGCATGTGGTGTCTTTCTCTTAAATGTTTGGTTTTTTTTTTTTCTAGTTGTGGGAATTGCTAGCATCTGGTAGAGTTGTAGGAGGTTTTTTTTCTAGTTGTGGGAATTGCTTTTTGCTGTTTAGTTTGTGGGAGTGTCTTTTGTTGAGGACACTCTAGAAACCAAAGTTGTTCTTGAAACCTGGCTAGTGGCATGAATGAAAACGTTTAGTAGTAGCAGATTGTCTGTCGCCTTTCCAGAAGTCAGGAGGAGGGATTTGTAGTCTCAATCAAGATCCTTTGTGCTGTCTTAGCTTTGGAAGTGATATTAAAATTATTGCAACTTTTATAACAGAGGCCTCATGACTAACTACATATCAAAAAAGTTAATTTAGCAGAAAAGTAAATGAGCTATATATTCAAATACTGTGTCCCACGACTCATTAAAAATCCATTTTATTTTCTGCTGGTGAAGTTTTGCCCAACTGTACCAGTACTGAATCTTAAAATGATGATAAATTTGATTTTATCACTTACTTTATAACAATGCCTCGAATATATGTTACCTTAAAAGGATAAAGTGATCTTCAAACACCAAATTGTTTGTCATTTCTCAGGAGGGCAGGGTGGAGTTTCCTGTTTCAAAACGGACGCTGGCTATATGGGTGGTGCAGTTATGTATTGAGATTTAGTGCGTATTTATCAGAAGAAATTGGGTTTCATTCATCAGCTGTTAATTTATTTGCACTCCTGGTGTCATGTGTTACCAGTGAGCCTTAGGAAGACCCTGTGTTTGATCTAGTCTGTGATTCTGTGTCTTTCAGCTTGTTGAAATTCTGAGGTATAGAACAGGAAAAATGATGAGTTTAGAGAGGTGTAGGGTTTTTTTATTCCTAGATTTATCATGTCAATATTTGTCATCATTGCCTTGTTATTTTTTAAATGAATCTCTTGTCTGTGAAAGACAGAAAAGGAGGAGGAATATATGGGCCCACCTTAGGGTCAGTGTCCAGATTGCCATGTCTGACCACAAGGACACTGTATATTCTGCAGGAAAGCCTGTTTCTGTGGAACTCCTTAAAAATAAAATGAACTGTGCTTCACACAGAGCAACAGCTTCATCTGAAGCAAGTGTAGGGCAAGCCAATTGTGGGCATACTCTGGTGCATCCTGACCTGTGCTGTCCTTGCCGTTCACATCAGTGGTCCTGTGCATCACTTGTGTGATGTGAATAAACAGGAGGAGAGAGCTGTAAAGGAGGGTTTCATAAATCTTGCATAGGAGGAGGGCTTTTCCACAGTGCTTCTAAGCAATTAAATGCTTCAGTATTTTTCCGGCCAGGTAGCTCTGGTACGCAAGTTCGGAAAACATTCCGGTACTGTCGTGAAACCCAGGTTGGCTAACAGCAACAAACGTTTGGAATTTACTGCTGTGAAGGCTGACTATTTATTTTAATAGGTAGCTTGGTTTTTCTAAGGGTTTTGTAGGGGGGAATCCAAATTAAAGCCTTAATTCATGAAAACATCAATGATTGGAACAATGAAGCAGGTTCCCAAACAGAATATTCAGAATAGCAGCTCTGACTGGATTGAGGGTCAGCAGGCACTGACACTTGTAAAAGCAGGTTGTCACCAGGGGACTGCGTGCCTTCCGGAGTTTAACCTCCGTTTTAATATACATTGAAATGCTCATCTAGGTTTCTGTTTTTCACTGCTGAACCTGAAGAAAAAAACACATATGTTTTCATAGCCGTCACAGATAACTGTGTAGGCAGGGAGGGGAAAGCCCTTTCCTACTACTGCTCTGAAACAAGAAAGAGTTTTGAAAGAAAGATAACTATTTCATATGTCACCTCTTCAAGCTCCCGCTTGTCAGTCCTTGCTCAAAGCCTTTGCTACATCTTTGACGTATTTGAAGTGTCACCACCTCTTCTCTTGATAGTTATTTATCCCATTTCGGTGTGCAAAAATAGTTGATTACAATATTGAGAAATCCTTGTGGTCTAAATGAATGTAAAGAGTGTGTGAACAGTGTTGTTCATGGCTGCACGAATCTGAGTCTGTTCTCCTTAGACCCACCTCAGTGCCGGCTGTGGTGCCAGTGTTTGCTGGCTTTCTGACCATTACCAATCTCCACGTGCACTACTGGAAATGACTTCTTCCCTTTCTCTTTCTCTTGGAGTCTGTGGGCCCAGTGCTGTCCTCCGATATTCCCTCTGGAACCGAATCGGAAGAGGATGAGGATGGCATGAATGACATGAATGAGGAAGTGATGTCGCTGATATGGAGCGAGGATTTGAGAGTGCAGGAAGTGCGCAGGCTCCTTCAGAGTGCCCGCCCTGTACGCGTCAACGTAGTGCAGATGCCAGAAGCTAGTGACCACGAATACATAGAAGAGAAAGAAAACCGGTAAAAACTGTCTCTGTTTCTAGTAGTATTTTGTCAGCGTTTCACTCGGGTGAAAAATTGTTTGAATGTTTTTGGTGGCTGCAACTTAAGTGTGTCTGAACTGAACATTAAGTAGGCAGGCCTGAGTGAAGGACACACAGAAGAGGATTTCACAATCCAAATCTTTGAAGTTCAGTGTACCTCAAAACTCTGCTGTATTTGAGTTGGAGGGGTCTCCAGATTGGAGCAGTATATGGGAAAGATGGTTAGTTCAAACTCCAGGCAGCATGTTGAGATCAGTTAGGGTTTGAAAGCAGATGGTAGCTTTTTTTTTCTCCACCTAAAGAGTATGAAATATAAGCAGGACCTACTCTGTCGAGAACAAAGCATCATGCATCCTCTGCCTAAAACTGGAGAGCCCTTTTGTTCAGTGCTGATCTTAGGTCAGGGGACCTAATTACTTCTACAGAAAGCAAATTCACTGTCCCATCCCTCTCTTTTGAAACCTCCTACTGGAGTCATAAGCTTAGTGGCCTCTCAGTTGTCTCAGTCCTGCTTATTTTTCACTTATTTTGGAGGTGCTAAAACTATCTTTAAAAAAGAAAAGAAAAAAGCAAACCTCAGAACATCATTAGCACGCAAAATGCTCTAAAGAAGTAGGAAGATAAAGGAATGCATCAAATTGTCTGACCTAACAAGCTGAGTAATCTAACAAGTCTAGAAAGTGTTTCCAGAGTAAATCATAGAGAATTGTGGTCAGCATTCTTGGAAGCACGTTATTAATTCTGTACACAGGTTATTACTAGATGTGATCACTAGTCATAGCAAGATCTCATATGACAATCAGCTTTATTTTGCTTTCTCCTTTCACATTGTTTCCGATATGTCTGCTAAATTGTCCGTAGCACAGATTTATTTAACTAGCATCTATCTTTAAGGGAAAAATAGTGACAAGTTTCAACACGATGTTAGCTAAAGTATATCTTTGAGATTAATCTTGTAAGGACCAAAGATTTGGTTCAAAAGTTTGGCCTACTGAAAAAGGAAAGGCAACATGCTATCTCATAGTCAGGAAAAAATATGGTCTGTCCAGCGCCTGTTGTCTGTACGCTCTTTTTAGATGATGAATTTGGAAAAATTGTCTGTATTGAGCGACTGGCTTGGAATTTTCTGTCATCTCCCCAACAGGCTGTTGCAGCTATGCCAGCGAACCATGGCACTACCTGTTGGACGAGGAATGTTCACTTTGTTCTCGTATCATCCTGTTCCAACGGAGCAGTTGCCCATCCCTAAGCTGAATCTAACTGGTACGTTGGTTGGAGTTTCTTTCAGTTGTTACCTCATTTCTTTCTGAACCTCTCCTAATTTATATAGCATCTTTTGTGTCTCTGACAAGGAGTTCCATGGCTTAAGTGTGCTTTGTGTGAAGTAGGAACTCTTTGTTTTGAATCTGTCACCTACTAGGTTCTTGTTATTAGGGCAATGTTATTACCTAACATTGAGACTTTATATCAGATACATTCTGAGAAGCAGAGAGAAGGGAAATAAGTTGCCTAAGGGCATGCTGCAGGTCAGTGTTGGAGTCATACAGGAGACAGGTAGAGTGAAGTCCACACTGCTGGTTTATCTGCTGTGCTTCTGCCTTCTGACATGCCTGAAGATACCCAAGGCTCTCAGATCAGAAGTGTTACCTGGCATGCTGTCCGTGTCTGTTCACTTGGCACCCTGTGGAAGTTGAGAGCTGTTTCTGAAGCTGTTTGGAATCATCTAATCGCTTTTAATGATTTTGTTATGGGCAGGCCGTGCTCCTCCTAGGAACACTACTGTTGATCTGAACAGTGGGAACATCGATGTGCCCCCTAACATGGCTTGCTGGGCCAGCTTTCACAACGGGGTAGCTGCCGGCCTGAAGATAGCACCTGCTTCACAGATAGACTCTGCTTGGATTGTCTATAACAAACCCAAAATTGCTGAGCTAGCAAATGAATACGCGGGCTTCCTCATGGCTCTGGGTCTCAACGGGCATCTCACAAAGCTTGCCACGCTCAATATACACGACTACTTAACAAAGGTGAGGCCTTCTTTCATAGGCAACAGAAAAAAATGTCTGTAGGACTTAAATTCTTCAAATAAAACAAGAAAGAAAAGTCAACAGATTTCTTTGAAACACGGAACTGGATGCTTCCTGGTGTGGGAGAATATCAGAGTTGCTTCATTAGAATTAGTAGCACAGGACTTTATTTCTGTTTGAAAGACTTTTCAACAGTTTTATCACTAAATCTTTCCATATTGTGCACAGCTCATTAGGATAAGTGAATGGAACACTGGGACGAGTGTCTTTTCTGAACACATCTGCTTTCTTTGGTCGCTGATATTTGTTTCCTTTCTCAGGGCCATGAGATGACAAGTATTGGCCTGTTGCTTGGCGTTTCTGCTGCCAAGCTGGGCACAATGGATATGGCAATTACACGCCTCCTGAGCATCCACATACCTGCCCTCCTGCCACCAACTTCAACAGAGCTGGATGTCCCTCACAACGTGCAGGTGGCTGCCGTGATAGGAATAGGCCTTGTCTATCAGGGCACTGCTCACAGGCACACAGCAGAGGTTCTGCTGGCTGAGATAGGTAGGTGCTAGCACTGAAAAAATGGGAGGTGGAAGGTGGACTGGGAGAGTCACGATGTGTGAGTGATTTGTACAGTACATCAGGCAGCTGAGAATTTTGACATTTCTTTTAACAGTACATCTCCCACAGCAATACTCACCTCTCATTTTCCAAACCTCATCTTCTGTTTACAGAGGAACAGAAATTACTGTGAACTGTGTGCTTGAATAGCATAGAATCACTGAATTTAGTAGAGGAAATGCAGAAGCATCATTTCTGGATCTAGATACTATTTCCACCCAGAAATTTTGTCTGATGAGCTGGTTTGGGGATTTCTAGGGTTGTTTGGTAAAAGGACTGCTGCAACTACACGTTCCTCCTGACCCAGATGCCATAGCTACAGAGATGCTGACCCTCTACAGCTTTCAAGCAGATCTGTTGCACATTGTATACCCAATGCATCTGATGTTTCCCAGACATTTGCTGTTCCTCATGTCTCTCCGTGAGGTAGCTGCCACCATAGAAACCAGAGATGAAAGCCCTGGCAGGGAAAAAACGCTTTTCTCTTGCAGGGACAGTCTTTTTAGCTCACTAGGCTGGCAGAAGTACAGCCATCATGTCCTAAATTCTCCTGTTCTGAATTCTGTTTAAGGCTTTCTAAACACTAGTCTTTACTGTTCAGAATCAGCTCTTAAATTTCTGATCTGAATTGTGTCCTCGTTTTGTGCACAATTCTGATTTTATTTGTAACAGTTAAGTTCGTATTCATGCTTATATGTAACTTTTAGTTAAAAAAGACAGTAGGGCATATTAAATAGAGAACGAGATAAATTTTAAGGGTGAAATGATACCTGTTATGTTTTGGTAATTTGATACATGCAATCTTTTCTAGCAACAGCTTTTGAACTCTGCTGCCAGAATTTGGATAGATTCAGAGTCTTAAAGTGTACACAATTGTAACATGGTGTTATCACTGCATCTCTGAACTCCTACCATATCATTTAGCAATATATCCTGCTTCTGGAGGGGTTTGCCATTTGGTGATGGATGGGTTAAGTGACAATTACTTGTAATTCCACTGAGAACTTCCCTGACTTTCTTGAGAAGGGACAGATATTTTTTTTTTTTTGTCCTCATTTCATTAGGAATGTAGTACTTAATTAAACACTGTTTACTTAGGTGGAATTTTAAAGGATGGCTTTCACTCTTCTGTCTTCTCCAGGACGTCCCCCTGGCCCAGAAATGGAGTACTGCACAGACAGAGAGTCCTATTCACTTGCATCTGGGCTAGCCTTAGGCATGGTCTGCCTAGGGGTAGGTGCCTCTCTTCATTTCAACTGCAATTAGTAGAAGAATCATTGTACACTGGGGTGGGGTAATAAGAGCTGTTTCATCCTTGACTCCCAAGTGCCTTTGGCCGAAAGCTTTTTTTTTTTTTGTTGTATGGGAAGGCACTTCCATATCATTTCTCCTCTTGGTTCCTTAGCACGGCAGTAATTTGATAGGCATGTCAGACCTCAATGTTCCCGAGCAGCTTTACCAGTACATGGTTGGGGGTCACAGGCGATTCCAAGCAGGAATGCACAGAGAGAAGCACAAGTCTCCCAGTTACCAAATCAAGGTACGTGTTGATGATTTTTGCTCATTTAAGATGAAAATAGCAATAGCTAGAGGTGCGTGTCTCAATGCAGCAAGTGACTCTCTGGATATGCATCACTACAGGCTGTTGCCTTCCTAGTCAACTTCTCTGAAAGTGTGCGTTGTGTTTTCACAGGAGGGAGACACCATAAATGTGGATGTTACTTGTCCGGGTGCCACACTTGCACTTGCTATGATCTACCTAAAGACAAATAACAGGTACTAACCTTGGAATTGCTCAGACGTTGTGCAATAACTTGTGATAGCAGTTTGAACTGCCGTAATGTTGGCTCTGCTTTGTGTGGGTTCCTCAATTTTGTGCAGTGCTGAAATATGATCTGGAAACCCTGTTCCTTTACTGTGCTCTGCAGATCCATTGCTGACTGGCTTCAGGCACCAGATACCATGTATTTGCTGGACTTTGTAAAACCAGAGTTCCTTTTATTGAGGGTAAGATTTTCTTTTGTATCATTTATCCGTCTACTTAACGATACTAAAAAGGCATCTTATTTTAATTTTTTTAATCTAACCCACATGCCTATCATGCAGAATCCTTTAGATAGCTAGTAAGCCTGTTGCTTGCCAGCCAAACTCATACCTTCAAACAATTTCTGTTTGTCATGCAGCATTAGACACAGAATATTGAGAAATATTTGAATGGTACATTTTTTATGGAACATTAAGTTAAATGTTTAGATAAATTTTTATAGCTTTTCCCAAATAAATTTCACAGATAAAAAATAATTTAGGCCTCAGCATCTGTTATAAGTACATGGTGAGTTTTCATCTCAGCTTACCAGATAAGCATACAGACCTTGCGAGGATTTTTTCTGTGGTTCTTTTTTCTGCAAGCAAAATTTGCATCTCTTAAAATCTGTTTTGTCATTTCTGATATGAAGGCTGAGAAGCAGTGGAGAAGCTGCTAGTGTGTAGCTGGATTGTCTGTGTTTCTGGATGCAGTTAGTATATTAAAGAATACCGATGAAGTTTGTGTAGGTTTTTTTTTCTTCCTTGTGTTTTGACTTTCTCACTTTTTTTAGACCCTGGCTCGATGCCTGATTTTGTGGGATGACATCTTGCCCAATTCCAAGTGGGTTAATAGCAACGTGCCTCAGGTAGGTATTTACACTTAATGTGTTTATTTCCCAATTTTATATCTCACTGAATTGTTCTGCATGTGAACATTTCCGTAGTCACGTGAGACGCACAAGAAAATGTCCGTTAATTGTGTTCACGTGACAGAGATGACTGTTACATTGCATTACTGGACCGTTACGGGAGCGCTGGGAACTCCTGCCTCATCATGCTGGAAAGGAGAGGATTGAGGAGGGATGCAGCTGTTCAAGACAGCAAATGGTGCCAGAGAAAGGGATTAAATTTTTCTCCATGTTGACCAAGCAAGAATCCATGTGCAAAATCACTGCAAGGAGGTTTCAGTTGAGCATTAGGAGCAACTTTTAAACAGTGAGATCAGTTGTATTCCGAGATATGCCGTGTGGAACTTTTAAGACCAAATGAGATAGATATCTATCAGAAATAGAGGATGCTGATGTGATGGTCTGTATGGCCTCTTGAGGTCTCATCCTGTTTGATTTTATCTCATATTTGAGTACATACAGTAACACTGTGCTTCTGACACAACCTTGCCATTGTTTTAGAAATTTCTAAGGGACCTGCTGCAGGAGCATTGAAAGGTGTGTCCCTTTTGGATCAGGAGTATGATGGAGCAATAGCATGTGAAAAAAACCCAGCTTTTATATGCCTGTTTTGTATCGCTTACAAACCCTCAACGCCCAGAGTTTCAGTTAATTAATCGTTTTCCCCTGGATTAATTTTTCTCTCTTATGCTTTTTGTAGATCATAAGAGAGAACAGTATATCTCTTCATGCAACAGAGCTGCCTTCATCTGAAGATCTGAGTTTAGAAACACTGGCGTAAGTAACATGTAAAAAATTCTTCTGAAAAGTGCAGCTGAACTCTTTATTGAGATACCGGTATACAAAACAAATATCTCCCTTGATATTTAGGGAATTTTATTCTCTGTTTTCTGTGAAGGATAAGTCTTTCTTTTCTGTTTTCCTTTTTTTTTTTAATTATAAAGGAGTTTGTGATGCATATTCAGATGAGGAAAAGAGAAACATTTAGTCATTTCCTGTTTATGTTACTTATTAGGCAAGCTCATGTCTACATCATTGCTGGAGCATGTTTGTCACTGGGATTTCGATTTGCTGGTTCAGAAAATCTGGCAGCATTTAAGTGCTTGGTAAGAAGTTTTTATTTTTTCCCTTCAATTTCCATAGAGCTGTAACTTATCTTTTGTATCTATATTTAGTATGTGTTTCTTTTCTTTCCAGTACAAATATGCAACAGATTTCCTGAAGTGTTTGTCAGCACCAACAGCTTCAATAGTAAGTTCTTTCTAGTCTTCTCTCAATGATAAAATGTAATGTACTTTGATTACCCTCACCAAAACCTTAATGGAAACAAAAACATCCTTTTTACTTTTCTACATTACAGACTATTTATAGAATGCGGCAGGGCTGTGAATCATTTTTGTTAAGGACTTTGCTGATTCTCCGCTCTCCCTCTTTCTGTGGAATGTGGTTTTCAAACTCTGGGGTAGAAAGCAGCATAGTAGACCAACCAGAAGCGTGTGTTTGACCACAGAAGTGTTATAATGCCTTCTCTATTCTTCTGCTTGAAGACAGGTCACTATAATCTCGAAACATGCTTGAGCGTCCTGCTGCTGTCTCTCGCGATGGTGATGGCTGGCTCTGGAAACCTGAAAGTCCTTCAGCTTTGCCGTTTCATGCACAAAAAGACAGGTGGAGAGATGAACTATGGGTTCCACCTGGCTCACCACATGGCTTTGGGGCTCCTCTTTCTGGGAGGAGGAAGGTAACCTTGCCACTTGAAAAGACAGGGTTTTTTTTGTTTTTTTTTCATCTCACCTGCAAAAGCTGGAGCAGTGTGCAGTTTACTTGTTTGGTTGTGTTTTTTTTTTTTTTTTTTTAAATAACATACAGATGCATAAAGACATCTATTGCAAGTGGAAGTCCTGTTGTCTTCTAGACACTGCATTGCTTAAATGCCATAGGAATGTTTCTGGCTTGTGTTTATTTCCTACCACTACCTGTTCATTTTGACTGCTCTGGGGACACAGTTATAAATTCCTTGCCTGTATACACTTTGCTGCTGTTCTTCCTGGGACACCAAAATATTTTGGATATCTGTGCTAGTGGCCGGTGTTTGTTAGCACAGAAACTAATAGATCATGTTTATCTACAGGTATTCACTGAGCACTTCAAATTCTTCAATTGCTGCTCTCCTTTGTGCTCTGTACCCTCACTTCCCTGTTCACAGCACGGACAATCGGTAAGTGTTTGCATTTTCTTAAGCTAAATCACCTTCTTACAGAAGAGGTTATTGAGAGGCAAATGATCTAGAAATTTTACTTAGGTGGTCTGTAAATAAATTTTTGGAGCTTTTCCAAAAAAAAAAAAAAAGTGGAAAGCAGAAGCCATAGGCGAAGATGTAAGATAGTTGTAGTGATCTTTGATCAGTGAGGCAATGCAAGAAGGTTTCCTGAGGCTCTATGCTATGCTCCAGTGATGTGACTGGTCCATTTCACCCAGCTGAAAAGATTTTCATGCAAGATCTGTCCATTTATGACTCTTAATCAGTTTTAGTTACAATTCATTAAGTCCTGTTCTGTTAGCTAACGCATATGTGTTTAAAAAAAAAAAAAAAAAAAAAAAGTAAAACCTACTACGTTGCTACAAATTTACCTTTAGTTTAATCAACAGCTGCATTTGGTTATTGAGCTGTGTGTAGTTTGGTGTTTGGGGATTATTCCCTGCCTGTACTGCACAGTGCTGAATTCCTTATTCCCACACGCAGGTACCACCTCCAGGCTCTGCGTCACTTGTACGTGCTGGCGGCAGAACCGAGGCTCTTGACGCCTGTTGATGTGGATTCAAACACTCCTTGTTACGCACTGATAGAGGTTACATACAAGGTAATGGGTCTGGGAGGCAAGGAGGAGCGAAGGCCTTTGGAAGGTGTGGGAGACAGCTGAAAACTGATACACCAAAGGAACGCTGTTTTCATTGCTGTGGCCAGCAGCCTTGGGTTTGTTTTCAAGTTGTGGTGAAGACAAGCCAAATTCTGGGCGAATAATTGAAGGGTTGTCCTCAACCCACTCACACCTTACATGTGCTTTGATGTCACCTTGAGAGCAGAATACAGGACAAATAAAAATCACCGCAAAGCCTTCAAACAGCTGAGTGTGTAATGACTGACCCAGGGTCATAGTTCTCCGCTTTCTAAAGAGGAAGGACTTCCAAAGGCACAGAGGTGGTTGGAACCATTTGTGGCTTTAAAAGCTGCCTCCTAATTCTGCTGAAACAGGCAATTTAGTGTTTCTCCTTGGTGCTTGCATTATGTGTCTTTTGGGGAAGAGTCCCTTCTGCAGGATTTATTTTGTACAAGCTTACATGAGACAGGCAGTGCTCATGAAAGGACTAAAGAAAGAGTTCTTGGGATTTTGGGCAGGAAGAGATGCAGCATGGATCCATCGTGGTTCTGGCACAGAGTTGTGCACGTTCATAATATAGTTTATTTCTCAAACCTTAAGGTTTCAGTGGAAGCGTGCCTGACTTGCACGATGTTATGTGCTAATCCTTCCATGGGAAATATAACTTTAATTTAGGATTATGTTTCTTGACCTTAAAGGCAATGCTCAGTCATGTATTTACTCAGAAACAGAAACTGACTTCTGCCAATGGGGTGGTTATAAATGAGATGCATGTTTTCTTTCTTTTCACACGAAAATGAGCTTTACTAATATGTGAATACTGGTGGCATTTTGAAGGGCACGCAGTGGTATGCAGAAGCCACTGAGGAACTGATGGCACCCACGCTTCTTCCAGAGCTCCACTTACTGAAGCAGGTAAAGTCAGTCTCTGCCTCTAATGTGGAATTTAATCACCCAGTTTTTGTGTCACAAACAGTGCAAAAACAGAGACTTAGTGACTTTTCTTTGATTCCCTATCCAGCCTTCCCCAGACTCTGGACGACACCGTCCTATAGTAACAGCTGCAAAGACAATTCTGTCACTATGGAGCACATGTTAAATTATGCCATGCGTTTCTCTTTGGTCTTGATCGATCATAACGCTTTCAATATCTGATGTAGCAGGGAGGTCTCTGTGCTAGAGACACAAAGCTAGGTGTTTTTCCTGAGTTTTCAGGGTGGGTAACACTATAAAAGGGCACGTGCCCTTGTAAGGGCTCAGAAATAACTGTAGGCTTACGTAGAAAACTCTTGATTCTGGTTATATCTAGTAATAAAAATGCTTACATTGACAGATCAGAGTGAAGGGACCACGGTACTGGGAATTATTAATAGATTTAAGCAAGGGAACGAATCATCTAAAGTAAGTATTCTTTATAATGCCTAACTGAATAATGACCTTGTAATATTATTTTTTTTCTTTAAAAACCTCCTGTCCTTGTAACACCTACAGTTTGGAAAGAAGTCTGGTTTTGATCGGTTCGCTGTTGTGCATTTGACAGCACTTTAGGGTGAAGAAAGAAACTGCGTAGTTGGTTTCACCTATTGATGTGAATAATTCATGCAAAAACAGGGCAGGGGAAAACCTGATAGTAAAAACCGCAGATATTGGCAGTGGGATTGAGCAGTACCAGAAACTATCTTAAACTCATGGTTTTAGTTTAGTTTTGAGTTGATATGATGTCATGTTTCCCATACTGTTGATACAGTAGTTAGCTGTTACTGCTTTGTGAAATACAATTTTTCTCATGTTACGTGAAGTGTACAAAGTACTGCTTACTGCATTTTAACTCTCCGTCGGGCAACTGTGAAAAACAGAAATCTTACCGGAATACAGTATCTGTGGGTAAAATCATTCTCATCTCTGCGCTTAGCAGCCTGCAGTGTAACTTGTCGCTGTGAGTAGTGTAGAAGCAGTCAGCTGCATCTTTCATCAGTATGGTTTTTCTAGTTAGTTTAAATGCCACTATTGAGATTAAATTAGGCACGACAATGCAGCATCTGTTGGTCCCTGCCTTTAAAGATAACAAATGGGGCTGAGGCGGAGTGCAGGTTCCTCCAGTGGAGGAGGCACATGCTGATTTGTGTGCTGCCCCAGTGCTGGCAGAAGCCAGCCTTATTCTCCTGGGTTGAGCCTTTAACACACTTGAGCACTTGTTTGTCCAAAAGAGCCTTCCTGTGCTGCCACAGCAGAAACCAGCGTGGGTGACTGAGGAACTTACTGCCTTTGGGACTTGCCTGTTCTCTGGGTCTCCAGACATTTTGAATCTGGCAGCTCTCGTGTTGCAACATCTTGTCCCCAGCCCTTTAAAATGGTTGGGACCTGGCTGGCAGGCTTTTGGAGATAAATGTACGTGTGAGAAGTAATTTTCCCTATCTCACTACATGTGAATTGCTGCTACATTGTTATGCTAAGCAGTTAGTTTCAATACAGATAATTTAGTTATTTTAAGGATGCCCAGTGCCTACAGTTAATGGTGCAACTGATACTCTAAATCAGGTGAACGTGCAGCTGTTTTGCAATAGCATAACTTTGAACTGCTGTACACTGCTGTTTGTAGGCTTGGTCGGGAATAATGGGGTTTCGTTGGTTTTTTGGTTTTGTGTTTGTGGGTTTTGTTTTTTTTTTTTGTTGGGGGGTGCTTTTTGTGGTGTTTTTTTTTTTTTTTACATGGAGAAAGGACCATCACAGCACCCCTTTAAAGCTGTTGGATACCGCCTTGCATGGTTTTCCTTGGTGCTGGGAGCTCGTCCTAGAAGAGCCTAACAAGAACTTGCAAGGGCTTCAGAAAGTTATATTCCTTCTATCGGTAGGGCTCATCCCTTTTTGGTCACCATTGCCTGTCCTGCCGTCACCATTTGACAGCAGCCTGCCCTGCAGCTTTCAAGATTTCTATGTACACGTGAGTGGAATAGGGATAAATCATCAGGACAAAGCCTAAATGGGGATATTACCGTATATGAGCTGTTGGAGATCAAATTTCCTTTACAGGTCAGCCTCGTTGTGTACGTGTACCGATTTAGAGTAAGAGCCGTTGTTGTTATTTCAGATCAATTCTTTCAAAGGGTGGTGTTTTGTACGTGAAGCTGAGAGCTGGGCAGCTCTCCTACAAGGAGGACCCGATGGGCTGGCGCAGTCTCTTAGCACAGACTGTTACTCACCGAAACTCTGAAGCTCGGGCATTCAAGGTAGGGCTCCCAAACTGTTTTCCCGCTGGGAATGCTGCCTCTAGAAAGGCTGAGGGAAGCACAGCAGGTCGTGCTGTGTGATCCTGTTTCCAGCACCTAGCTCTGCCACATGGTTATGAGTACTGAAGTCACTTGCTGTGCTCGAGGGAAAGGAAGTCTGGTGGCTTTCACAGGGCATGCGATGAGCTTAAGCTAAGAGCAGCTCTGCGACTGTATGTTTGTCGTGGGCAGACAGAAGCGTTGGACATGTTTTGCCCACGATGTGCTTTATGTAGGTAACAGTCTCCTCACTTGTGTGCTGGGGAAGGAAGGGTTGGGTATAAATTGCTGTTGCATTTGTGCGGTAAAACCAAAAAGTTGATTTTAAGAGTGTGTTTTAATCTGTGTTTTGTTTTGTTTTGTTTTTTAGCCAGAAGCAATTTCAGCTTTTACTTCTGATCCTGCTCTGTTTTCATTTGCTGATTATTTCTGCAAACCAACTGTGAACATGGGCCAGGTATGATGCCTAGATATGGACTAGCATGGGTTCTTGCTTGCGTGAATAAAAGGTGGGAAAAACCTATGTTAAAGCAAGGAACAGAATTCAGTCCTTCAAGTAGTGGAGACAGGGAATATTCTAAGGGATGTTTTGTAATACAGAGGTGTAAACCAGTGTTGAGCCTGTAATTGGGTTGGTTTGGGGTTTTTTTCCTATTGGTTACATGACAGTTGCTGCTAGTTGTCTACGCCAGTTGTATTCATTGTGGAATGTGTTTAACAAATACCAAGCGCCCTGCTCAGTGTCCTGAAGTATTTAGGTGAAGTCGCTGCAGAAGGGTTAGGGTGTTTTGCACTGTATTTCTCTTCACAAAATGACTTCAGGGAGGGGGTGAAATACAGCTGCACTATGCCTAGTTTTAGTAAGTCCAAGGATAAAAGCAAGCTGTTGTAGCATTGCTAGCTATCATTAACTTATGTAATGTCAGTGCATGAGTTAACTTTAATAGAAGGAAATGTGAGCAATGCAAGAATCTGAAATAACTTGCATCTAGCATGTGTGCTTTGTTAAACATGTGTCTTTTATCAGAAACAGGAAATCCTGGATCTTTTCTCCTCAATTCTTTATGAGTGTGTTACCCAAGAAAATCCAGAGATGCTGCCCACGTACATAGCAATAGATCAGGTGGAGTAAACACTTTTTTTCTTTTTTTTTTATAGCCACACTTTGGCGTAAGAGTATTGTTCGTTGTCTACCCTTCTATAGGCGACAGAAAGGAAGAAGGGGAGACATATTAGCAAGCTTACAGGAAGATAGCAGAGATTTTAAAAGCAAGTTGGAAAATAGTCTAAGGTAATGAAAACTGAAATTACACCAGAAACATTAGCTGGCAGTTTTTCTCAGGTGCTCAGAAGGGCAGCCCTTGGCAAGGCGGGGTTTGAGGATTCATTTACTTCATGTTTATGGCAGCAGCGTTTCTTTCCTCCTGCAGTTCACATTCTCACAGTCACTTTGTGTTTCCCCTCTGCTAGGCTGTGAGGAGATTAGAAAGAAGAGAAATGTCGGAGACATTTGAGCTGTGGCAGATAAAGCTGGTGTTAGAATTTTTCAGTTCCAGAAGTCACCAGGAGAGAATGAGCAGGAATCCAAACCGAGGACTCTTCATGAACTCTGAATTTCTGCCTGTGATGAAGTGCACTATCGATAACACTTTGGATCAGTGGCTTCAAGGTATAGCAAAGATAGCTTTAATCCTATAGCCATGATTGCAATTTAGCATTCTTGTCTTCTTGCTGATCCAGATTGACTTTTGCCTCAAAAGTACTAAAAAATAATAACTGAAGGGAAGGCACTTGCATGTTAGCATAAACCAACTTGTTTTCAGTTTGGTGTGAAACATTCACTGCAGAATGATGTTTGACTGTGTAGGTGGGACGTTAGCTAACCATGGAAGGTTACGTTTCCCAGGGAAAATGCTTTCCTAATATTTGCACTGGGGGAATTTTGTAGGAGCAGAAGCAAGGGGTGCCCACAGCAGAGAACAAGGGTGTAGGGGGGACCATGGCAGAAGGAAGAAGGTTTGCCCGCAAACCCCTAGCCCACCTTCTGTGGGGAGATGGAGACTTTTCAGTGGGCTTTTTCTGTGGAGATCCCATTGTCTTGCCTTCCTGTTTCCTCCCACAAATGCTCCCTACATTTCATCGGTGTGTTTTGCATATCACAGCTGGAGGGGATGTGTCTCTGCATTCCTACCTGAGTGGACAGCCCACGGAGGAATCTCAACTGAGCATGCTGGCTTGCTTCCTCATTTACCACTCTGTCCCAACACCAGCTCAGCTGGCAGCTGGAGGCTTGGAAGGTAAGACTGGAGCAGCACTCTGGACTTGCATGGATTTGCAAGTCCAGAGTGCTCCTGGTGTTTGGTCTTGCATACTAAAAGGAGTATATCCTAGAAGTTACGTGACAGCGTGTGTCTCCTCTGAAAGCACTTCCATTGAATTTTCTTCTTTGGGAATTGTCTCAAGTCTGGACAGAAAAGATAGAAACTTTATGCAGGACTAGAGAAGCCAGGATTAGACTATATAAAAAAGTCTTGGCTTTTCCCTGACCTGCAGGTAATGATGTTCTTGCAGGCAGCAGGGCTGGACAGATGAGCTGTGCCAGGGAAAAAGCATTCTTTTTGTTGGTCTAGCTATATCCCCAATGTCCTTAAATCTCTTTCATATAAGCACCTGCTCAGAGCAATCACCTGCTCTCCTGGGTTTCCAGGGGTAATCTGATTTGGGATCCGTGGAACATCGGGACCCTTTCACTAGGCAGCTCTTCTCTTGCCCTCCATCAGCCCAACCTGGGGATATACCAGTCCTCCTCTGCTTGCCTAAGGTTTCTCAGGTTGCCAAAGAAATGCAGCTGGACTTCAATTTGGGGAACAATGTGGCTTGTTTAGGGATGACACACGAACGTTACCACCTCGGTGGTGAGAGGAGTCTGTGGCTGAAGGCTTCCTGGAGGCCACAGCCCACAGCCTGGGAGTCTTGCACAGGTGATGGCACCCTGAGCTTGCCGGCTGTTGTGTCTCACCTTGGATGTTTTCCAGTCAGGTGCCTGCCTGGCTGTTCAGGTCAAAAGGCCTTTATGGAAATCCTGGTTTTCTGTGTCGTCTCTACCCGTTACACACTTCTGTTTGGGGAGTTCCTGCCACATTAATCAAATTTGGGATTTTTTCAAAGTTCTAATACAAAAATTTACTTTTTAATTGCAACAAAAGGAATAGCAGTGAGCACATCTCCAGAGATGCACCCTGACCTCTGGCTGGCTCTCCTTCCTCCACTGACAGCTCTTCTATTGGGCGAGCGTTGCACCAGTCCGTGCTCATTTTCTTTCTTTCTTTTAATCTCTTTAGGAAGCACGAACTTCTCTGAGCTGCTTTTGAAGTTCAAGCAGTTGAATATGCCAGTTCGCGCGTTGCTAAGGCTCGCTCCTCTGTTGCTTAGAAATCCCCAGTCCATGGTGCTCTAGGTCCGCGGCGTTCGTTCTGCGTGTGGTTACTGAACGGCAGAGCCAGCTCTGTGTTGCTCCATGCTTTTCAAAAAACATACAGGAAAAATGTACTTGAATTTTGTAACTGCTCAAGCAACATAAACTTCAAACTTGTCCCCAGATGTGGTGACTGTGACCAAGAGTTATTTATAACTTGTTACAATGAATAAAAAAAAATAATGTAAAAGTGAACTAATAATAAATTTACTTTTGTAACTAAGGATTGTTTGAAAATATGTCTTTTTGTGGTGAATTCTGAAAAGACTTTGGCTGGGAACTCTACAATTTCCTTATTTTTATAACTTCTTTGCTTGTGATGTATCTTAAGCCACTACTGTAGATTGTAGGAGATAGGCAGCCCAGAAGACGCCAAACTTGCTTTTCCTCCTGGGTCTCAGGCTGGAAGGGAAAGCAAGCCACCCGGCATGCCCCTCGCGTCGTGCCAAGTATGCTTTTCAAGAACTGGCATGATCTTTCAGTCTCATTCATGGGATATTTATTTTTTTTTTCTCTCACAAAGGCTATTGTATATCTCCACCATAAATGTACACCCTATGGAAGTATTAATTGCTCTGCTCCAACTCCTCTGCGACATACTTACTACTGCACTGTTTACATATTTTTTTTTTTTTTTCTAATCTTTGTTCTGCAATTAGTCAGTGGCTGCTGAGAAAACACCTGCCTCCACTATGTTACGTTATGTCTGGGCAAGAACTGAAACTACTTACAGACAATTTAAATAATTGGGTATTCATTTGTGTTTCCTTCATCTCTGCTACACTGCCTTATGTATTTCCCCAGAGCTCTGAACTTGGAGCGTGGCTGGTTCCATATTTGTTCTGGGCAGGCCAGGCACTTAATTTTTCATAAAACAGGTGGAGTTACTCCAATAAAAGCAGCCAGAGGTTGAATGATTACTACTAGAAAAGCAGCCCTAGCCAAGCTGTTAGACTCTGCTTATTCTGAAGTTTCAAATTTGATTTTATTCTGTGGGACTTGTGCTGATTTTAGTTCCTTTTTTTTTTTCCAAACCCTCAATTAAGGGAACTAAAGGATTTTAGGAAGGGGACAAATGGACAGAGGAAGAAAAGAATGATTATGAAGAAGTCAGAAATAGAAAAATTCTACAAACCTTCTCAATGTTCTTAAAAAGAACATGTTTGGCATGTGTTAACCAAGGTTTTCAGTGGCTTAAGGTGTCCCGAGAGACACATCCCGGCGAGAGCTCCAGGAGATGACCTGGGGGTGACGGTCTGCCCTGTCCTGCTGGCTGTGGGTCAGGGCACGGGTTGCAAAAAAGGATGAGATGCACACAACGCGCTCGCGAGTGAAGCAGCGAGGGCAAGAGGAAATCAAATGTGTCCTGAGGGGTGTCCCTACGCAGAGTGCATGGGAGATGTCTCGCTCCTGGGGGCAAGGGTTTGCATTTGAGATTTTGGAAAGGAGAGGAAGCATCTTGCAGTGCCTCTCATGCCAGCTGGAGCCTGGAAGCATTGGGGTTCAGTTTTTTTCTTTAAAATAAAAAAAAAAAAAAAAAACCAAACATCTCCTTTGTTTTGTGAATTAAATAAAGCCGTTAACAATTATGGAAAACCCCCCTGGGAGTGATGAGGTCGAGGTGTGGGGTCCTGGCCCTTCCTTCCCCTGAGATGGTGGTTCAGGCTGGGCTGGGAGTGCAAATACCTGCGGAAGCTGTTTTCTTGCTACTAAACTGGGGAAATGTGAGGGACCCTCACTTTTCCTGAGCAAATGAAACTTTGCTTTGCCCAGATTTCCACCCCTGACTTTTATGAGGATTAATGGTTTTTGGTTTTTTGTTCTGTCTTTTTTTTTTTTTTTTTTTTTTTAGCCTCCTCAAGCCCCTACCATAAACACAGAAAAAACTGCATGCCTTTAGCTCTGTTACTTTTTTGCCCCGTGCATGCCGCGGGAGGAAGAGCAGAAAATGCAAATACTGGACTTTGAGTGAAAAGCCGAGAAACCTGACCTGCCTCTCGCTGCCCTGATAGATAGATAGATAGATAGATAGATAGATGGGGTTTTGTCCCCCCGTTCCGAGGAGTTTGGGACAGCAGCCCTGCTGCCTGGGGGCCCCGTGAGCTGGAAGCTGAAGGTGCCTTTGACCACAAGCACCACGGAAAAGCAAAGCGGGCTGTAAGCCGGGCCCTGCAAGGAGGTGCAAAGTACAGCTTCCCCGGGGCTGGAGGAAGCATCTCCCCATGCAGCCGGGGTTTGGGTGCTTGCAGGGCCGGCCAGGGCTTGACCCCCCCCCCCCCCAGCAGCACCCTGCCTGCCATCGCTTCACCCTCCGGGGTAGGAAGGGGAGCGTGTGGGTGTGTGCGAGCCTCTCGCCGCATGAAGTCAAGAGCCGAGAGGCTTCCTGTTTCCTTTTTAAGGTTTAACAGAATTTGAAAGCAGCCGCCGCCACGACCTGGACCAATGATTTGGGCAGAGTGGCGGGGGAGTTGCAGCTCGGGGTGCCTGGCGCCCGTTGCGAATGCCAGCTTCGCTCCCCCGGCCCCACGTGGAGCCCCCACACTCCCTCCAGCCCCGGGCTGCCCCGGCTTGCCAGGGTAAGGTGCTATTTACTGCTGCGGGCGAGGCTTTGCAAGTGGTTTAAAACTCTCGGTTACTTTAGCTACTGGCTGTGAATTACAAAAAATAGACGTGTGATAGACTTTTTTTTTTTTTCTGTGATGCCTTACGCTCCTCAACGCTGCTGGGTGGTGCTTGGGCCGGGCTCTCGTAGGCTGAGTATTTTCAGTTTTGCATGTTTAACCCGTGAGCCCTGGCTGCTGGTTGGGTTTTGGGCTTTGCCTTGTCCCACGCTGGGTCCCTGAGCACCCGTGGAGCATGTGCTGCCCTTGGGCTCTGCTTGGGGAGCCCTGGCTGCCGTGGGGTGGTGTGAGGACTTTCGGGGGTTCCATGGGAGGTGCAAGATCCCCCAGCAACGTCTCCTGGTGCGATACCCCATGTCTAGCCTTCCCAGCACCTCAAAGCCTCCCCCAGCGCCCTCGCAGGCTCTCACTTGTCCCCACTACAGGTGAGCGAGCACCCTGGGACAAGGGAAACCATGCAGCCCCCCCCAGCAAGCCCCAAGCTGGGGAGTCCTTGGGGCAGCCCTGGGGCCTCACTCCAGTCTCAGTTTGTGGGCAGTCGGAGGTGGGAGCTGGGCTGCTTGGTCCCTTGGGGGGCTTTGCAGAGGGGGGCAGCTCTGGGCACGGCGCGGAGACGGGGGAAATGGAACGAGGAGGCTCTCTGCCATCCCTCAGCAGCACCCCTGGGGCTCTCCCTCCCATCCTGGCACCCCTGGGGCTCTCCCTCCCACCCTGGCACCCCTGGGGCTCTCTCTCCCCCCCTGGCACCCCTGGGGCTCTCCCTCCCACCCTGGCACCCCTGGGGCTCTCTCTCCCACCCTGGCACCCCTGGGGCTCTCTCTCCCCCCCTGGCACCCCGTGCCTCAGGAACTGCAGCTCCCGGGATGGAGGCCAGGCACGCCTGGGGACAGAGGCCGGGCTCCCCTGGCGTCATGCCTCGGTACCCAGAGTGCTTAGTCACCTTTCTGGGGTTTTATTTTTATGCTGCTCTCGCAAGCTCTTTGCATGCTCTCCCTTGGGCTTTGGGCAAGTGGAGGCAGCAGTGAGGTGAGGTGTCTTCTTGCTGCTCCCGGGGTCCCACCAGGCATGTCCTGCCACTTTTTGGCTATGGGAAGCAAAACCATCACTTCAGCTCATCCCAAACCATGCTTGCTTGGGCTCGGCTCATGTTTCCCTATGGTTGTCCTAGAACTGAGTGGCTCTGTGAGGGGTTTAGCAGCCCAAGGGACACCTGGGGTCCCCACTCCTGCCCCTTCCCTCGCTCAACTTTCAGTTTTGGGTTGGTTTGGTTTTTTTGTTTTTTTTTTTTGGCTTTTAATCTCAGTTGGTCAGCGCCTTGGGAAGAAGTCCCCGTCGTGGCTGTGGACCACGCCGTGGGACCTCCAGCCCATCCCACGGACCACGCTGCTGGCTCAGCTGCCCCCGGCATCGCCCCGGGGCTTTGCCACCGGCACTGGGGGACGGAGGTCCCCGGCGTGGTGGCCTCGTGGCTGCTGGAGCGCGGCGCCTGTTCAAAACTGGGCCTGCCCCATTGCCGAGTTCCCTTTTTCGGCTGGGGTGCGCAGTTTTTTGGCAACAGTGACCTCTGTCGGCACTGCCACGGCCGGGGCCTGGTGCCACCGGCTTGGCCCCGCTGTCACCCACCTGCATCCCGCACATCCTGGCACCTGCTGCCTCTCTCCCTCTTCCCATCTTCGGCACAAGCGGGGAAATTACTTGCTTAGCGGGGACAAATCCTGACCACCAAGCATCTCCTCCAGCCCCGGCTGCCCCGTAATGGCACAGCAAAGCCCTTGCAGCTCCTGCTGGTTTTTCGGTAAACACGCGTGATGGGAGGCAGCTGCCAGCTCTGCTCAGAACCGGGGAAAAGTTACTGAAAGGTCTCCCGAGGACAGCCCAAAAACTGAAAACCCAGCGGGGATTTAATTTAAGAGTGGTGTGGCCAACCTCCATGACTCATGTAAATAGAGATGTTACAACCTGTGACTAATCCCGGTAGCACTTTCTGTGAATGTTTCATCTCCATTCACGTTTCAAATGAGTATTTTTCACAATTTAGAATAATAATAATAAAAAAAATACGGGTGATTTTACAGGAAAGAGGGGAAGGAAGTGTTTTGGCTGCGAAGCGGAGCCGGCGAGTGGGGACTGCCGGGTTGGTTTTGGCTCGGCGGAGGACGCTGAGCTGGTGTGGCCGGTCACCGCCGCTCTGCTCGCTGTTCCTCTGTCCGTGAGATGGCAATTGCTGCCCCTGCCCCCTCGGGCAGAGGGGCTTTGCCTCCTGAAAGATGCTGCCAGCACCCATACGGCAGCCCGATGGGTGCCCTGCCGTGCCGGTGGGCCGAGTGCCTCTCAGCAGTTTGGGGCCGGTTGCAGGTGGCAGCAAGTTTTGGAGGGCTGTGGGGCCGTGGCGGCGGCCGGGGGAGTGACTCAGAGGCGCTTTGGGGCTCTGTGGTTTTGCTTTCATGGTTTTGCTGTGACTTAGCGACTTGTTTTTTTGCTCCGCGGGAAGGCAGGTGCCAGCATGCCCAGCAAATTGGCCGTCCCGAGGGATCCCCGCCATCCCACGGGATCCCAGCAGGCTGTTGGGACTTTCTGGGGTCATTGCTTTTGCTCATATTGAT